CAAGTGAGTCAATTGGGGAAAGTTTTCATAGGGGAACTATTTACAAAAATATTGAAAGAGTATGGAAAACCACAAAGTACTTATTAGTTTTACCATAACTACTTTGGAAGGGGACAGTGCAAAGACAAATCCTCGGACACTAAGGGAAGAATGCACGTTTCTGTGGTGATGACTTAAAGGTGAGGTGGGAGTGCAGTACCCACAGAGGAATGTAGCCCATCACAGCCCTGAGGACAGCAGCCTGGACAGAAGTCTGCTGACTTTTATCCCTTCTTCTCTTCACTTCCTCCCCAACTTTGTGGCCATGGTGGTACAGGTTTAGTGTTTGGTCTCCTGTATGATAAGGTGAAAAGAGAAGGAATGACAGTTGATTCCATAGTAGGAATGGAACAGAGAAAGAAACATCCATTATCCAGGCTTCCTGGCTGTGAATTCATTTGGTCAATGGCATTTGTCTCACTAACACCATCTGTATTTTTTGCACATTCTCTAAAATTTCAAATGTCTTAATGTTTGAGCAGGTTAAGCCACAATCTCAAAAACCATTCCAAGTATGACATTAAAAGGACCTTTGTCATCTCCTCTCCCATTGCTCCTAGTGGCCTAGTACATACATTGTGTTCTCAAGACAGAGCTTCCAGGTCTAGGACAATTTCCATTCTGCTCCTGCTTTTGAGACTCGAATGTTACATTTCATTTCCTTGGAAATAAATGAGCTTCCACTCCACAGCATCCCCCCACATATCCTGAGGCCAGTTTCCTACCCTTGTGCACAAACTTCTCATCACACACAAAACCCTTGCTCCACATCAAAGACCCTCAGGATCTCTGGGAGCAGAGTTTCCACACTGGTGAGCTCCCCAAAATTGAGACTGGTGACTTGCTCATGACCTCTACTTGTTTTCAAACTTTGATTTTGCCCAAGAAACCAGAGTCTTTTTTGTGTGCCACCCCCACCCCTTTAGTTATGTCTCTTGCCTTTGGTTAGATTGGCAAAGGATCTAGGCTGGAGAAAACAATACTACATGATGAGGGAACAGCTTTTGAAAAATAGCGCAGCCAGTGTTCCACTGCGTGACCCTTGGCAACATGTACTATAGCATATCTCAGGAACTATGCCTGAAAAACAGGCATGATGGTCACTGCTGGTTCACCACTTTACTGTGAATGTTAGGATGAGAGGATAGTTGTACTCAACAGAGTACCAGGCACAGATATTCCATTCAAAAATATTGTTATGATAAATACTAAAGAAAAGTGACAAGTTGTTTTGAGTCATTGTATCGCCTTGATTAAAATTATCAAATGTGTCAATTGATACATTATACATTTTCTCTTAAGTTCGGACTTGTTTATTGACATGAGAAGTGAAAGCAAGTGTTTGTTGCAAAATCTATGTATATAGACATGTATGTATGCAGACATGAATATATATAGAGATGAATATATTTTCAAAATTTGTCTTTTTAAAACTGTCTTTAGGGTAGGGAAAACCATGAATTTTCTAGATAGATTACATAGATTCAAATCCTAATTTAGCCTACTTCTGAATGCATTTTGTACAGATTAGTTATTTATTTTGTATAAAGATTCTTGGCCATGATAATAATTTCAACACAAAGAAAATTGCAACACAAGGAAAATTTACTAATGTTTCTTCATTTCCTGAAACTCAGGTTATGTAAACACATCAGCTAGAGCTTTGTAAAGAGTAAGTCCCCAATGCATAGTCACTGTCATCAGTATCTTGAAAATTCTGTCCTTTTCCATGGAGGAGTCAGCATACTTTTTGACTAATTGGATTTTCAGAGGCTCACAACTCTGAGCCTCTGCCCCAGTAGAGAATTCGAATACACCAGGGAGCTGGAGCAGGTATAAGTCACCTGAGTCCACCTTGTGAGGCTCTGTTGGTAGAGAAAGATACTGTCACAGGGTCTGGGACAGCAGATGTTTCTGGACTCATAACCCGGCTTGGTTCTTGGACAGAAAGACACAGGTCTGTGCCAGCGAATGATTTGGGAGTGCTTGAAACCTTCTTGACCTCATAAATGTGACTTTCCTGTGGCAATATCTGAAAGCCTTTGTGTCATTCTATTGTCTTTGGGTTGAGATGTCATAATCACAAAGACAGGGATAGGGACCCCACCAGCAAGACCCATCCTGATATCAGAAATGAAAGAAGGTGGATTCTGGTGAAGAAACAATGCCAATTATCAACTGGGTGACCATTTCCTTCTTATTAAACCTCTACTGGGCCATCTGTGAAATCATTGCCATTAATACTTAAACATACAGGGAGCTGTTGCAGTACAGAATAAAGGAAGTACCATGAGTGAAAATGAAGGGCAGCACTTGATTCAAGTAAGTGGTTTCAAAATATTAACCATAATTTATATAAAAGGCAAATTCTGGAAGCATAAAGAATCAGGGAATATTAAAATCAGACAATATTCAGAATTGAATCCAGGAGTTTAAAGTGTTATCAAATAAAACCCTTTGAGTTTCCATGGATGAATGTTTCCACACATTTAATGTTACCATAAAATTTTTCTTATTACCAAATATATTATTAAAATTTATAATATTTCTATACTTGTAGCAAATTTTCAAATCAACATGAGATAACTATTAAACTGATGTATGCTTACCATGAAATGGAAATGAAGAGGGGCATTTTACAGTGAATGGAAAAGAAAAAAAAGTTAAAAGAATGTAATATCAGATAATAACCCCTGCTTTGCAGAATAATAAAGCAGGAGAGAGACAAGCATGCCATCTTTATTCTAGGAAGAGAGAGGGCAGAAGTAAGGCATAAATGCAGAAATCAAGGCAGGGACAGCTTTTGGAGTTGGGGGCAAAAGCAATGAGGCCAGTTCCCAAGAGCTGGACATTTCTATTAGGAGTTCAGCTTCTCTGAATCAGCTGAGAAGTTGGGAGAGTGGTCAGAACAAAATAATGTTGTGGTCACCTGGCATTTTAAGAGACCCACTCTTCATTCTAGATTGACAGACTCACTGGGCAAAGGAGGGAGGGATGTGAGGAAACATCAAGCAAAGTATAGTGGCTTTGTCTAGGCTGGAAATGAAGGAGGGAAAGTGCCAGTTGCTGGACAGATTGAGAATGGACAAGATATCTCTAAATAATCAGAGATATCGCAAAAGCTGAAGTTCAGCCCATGTGGACATAAATGAGACTCTTCTGAGATAAAGCCATTTCCTGCAGCAGGGAGATTGAAAATGAAACACATGAAGAATTCTCAGGAGCTTACTATTTTTCCGAGGACACCCAGTATGTACCTTGTTAACAGATATAAAATAGGCTCTTAAATGTGTTGAGGAGGCATGGAAGAGCCATGATCAAGACTCTTTATTCATAATCATCAGAGTGGTGCAGGAGATCACCAGGGACTGACTGGGGATGGATGTGACAAGAAGGCGTAGTTGATTCTGGGGTCACTGCAGACCATCCAGAAGCAGGGATGATACACTAAATACTAAGAGATGAACAAGAGGACCAGTTTATTAGCTGACCTGAAAGTTGGAATGTGAGAAAACAGAATACGTCTACCTGGAGGGAGTGATGAACCATGGCTCTCACTGAGGTAGATCACGTCAGAGTCCTGGAGCCCAGTTAGAGGCTCTGGCCATGAGACAGCATTAGCCTGAAGGGGAGGATCATTCAAGACAGCACAAAAGGATGACCTTCACTATGTTCATAGTTATAAATACTAGAATTGGCAACTCATGGTAAACAGTATTTTCCTTGGACCTAAGAGCTGAACACATAAATAACAACTGAATTAATCATAGTTTTCTTTAACTATACCATGATTTGGGTTGATGAAAGTTACTGTAAGTGAATTGTCTTTTACATGTAATTCACTTTTACAGAGGTTTTTGATATATTCCTTTCTACCTTAACTTCTGGACGACGTCAGGGATCCAGTTATGTTGCTAGAAAAACATTGTCACTCTTCTACATCCTGAGTCTGCTAGCCATTTCAACAGCATAGTTATATTTCAATCTGGAGAAAATTTTAAAATGTGGAATATTTCTGAGCTATAAAGTAATGTTTAGTCATTTCCTTTTAAAATATAAATATTTCTGGAAATTTAGTGCAGGAAAAATCCTTAATAGTGAAAAATTTAGAAACATGTTTCTACCAATACATCAACATATCAATCACTTTTAACATTTTAACACCCAGTTCTCCTTTCTTGGAATGCCTGTAAGAGTGGTAGATAATTAAATTTTCTCTCTTTAAATTCCTGTTTCTTGGATTTTTCTTGGTAACATGTATGAATTACATGCAAACATTTTAAAAAATGAAATTTTTGGCATAAATGGATTAAAACTAGCACATAATTGACAACCATAAAATGTTTACTATGAAATGTATGTGAAGCACAGTACACTTCCATGCTGCAAATCACATAATTTTACCTCTACACAAGTTTTCCTCAAAATATTCTATTCTTACATTTTTGCAAAGAGAATCTTTTGAATAATTTTATGATTATATATAGTATTGAGATATAATTATATAAGGACTAGGTAATGTTCTATTATATGGAACCATTGCAGGAAAATACTTAATTTACTAATAAATGTTGAAAATAAGTACATTTCAGGTTTTCAGATTGCAACATCTGATGGTCTAAACCTAAATGTCATATATTTAGTAGTGTGCATTTGGGTATTGAAAAAGCATAAAGGCATAAGAAAATAAGATTTCTAAGTACATTTTTTCTTTATTTCCAAAAGGGGGAAAAAGCAAACAAAAGTAAATCTTTTGACACTGAATATGAATAATCTTGGCCAATTTGAAATTCTGTAAAATAATCCCTCAGAATATTTCCTGCTAAATTTGTATCAGAATACAGTGCACTGTAACACATTTATAGCACATTTATAATGTGTATCTAATACATTTATAATTTATCAGAACAGTGATTCAAGCTGATCCTCTTCCCTTCTGCAATGCCAGATTTCCTGGAGCCATGAAGAAGGGCAATCACACAGTGACCGAGTTCATCCTGCTGGGCTTCACGTCAGACCCTGCTATGCAGCTCATTCTCTTTGTGCTATTTCTTGCAGTGTACTTTATTACTGAGGTGGGAAATACCACCCTCATCGTGCTGATCTGTAGAGATGCCCGGCTCCACACACCCATGTACTTTTTCATTGGAAATCTGTCCTTCCTGGATCTGTGGCTGTCCATGGTCTACACCCCAAAGATCCTAGTGACCTGCATCTCTGAGGACAAAAGCATCTCCTTTGCGGGCTGTGTGGCCCAGTTCTTCTTCTCTGCTGGATTGGACTATACTGAGTGCTACCTGCTGGCTGCCATGGCCTATGACCGCTATGTGGCCATCACAAAACCACTGCTTTATACCCAGGCCATCTCCATAAAGCTGTGCACAGTTTTGGTAGCAACCTGTTACCTTGGAGGCTTTACTAACTCTTCCATAATAACCAAGAAGACCTTTTCCTTTGATTTCTGCAAAGACAATGTCATTGATGACTTCTTTTGTGACCTGCTTCCCCTAGTGAAGTTGGCCTGTGGCAAGCTGGAGGGCACCCAGTCTCTGATGTACTTCCTGTTGACTTCCAATGTCATTGTCCCCCTTGCTCTCATCTTGGCCTCCTACTTCTTTATAATCACTGCCATCTTGAGGATCCGATCTTCCCAGGGCTGCCTCAAGGCTTTCTCCACATGCTCTTCCCACCTCATCTCTGTCACCCTATACTATGGTTCAGTCTTGTACGTCTACTCTGACTCTGAATCCAGCTATCCTGGGAACAAAATTGCTTCCATCTTTTATACAGTGGTATTTCCCATGCTGAATCCTGTGACATACAGGTTGAGAAATAAGGATGTGAAAGAGGCTCTGCATAAACTCATCAATTAATCAAGCCAGTTTCCCTAAAATTTGCTTATTTTATTCCAATTCAAGATGTCACTGTGCTCCACCCTCATTATACACTGTTAATTGCAAGTGAAAGAGTCTCTCCCCTTACCACATGGCACTTTAGCATACCTAGTAAAAGAAAATTAGGGTCAATGAAGAATTAAAATTTTAACATAGAATACAAAGACTTGGATGGAACCCTAGCTGAAAAATACCTTCTAACTTCAAACAATGATAGAAAAACTGTAGATTTACTTGACTTCTGTGTAAAGAATAGTTTCAGTATAGGGTTTCCTGACAAATAATGTCAGGCATGTAGTGCGCACTTTAATGGAACTATCTAGGGAGCTGATGCAGGACGATTACAGATTGAAGGTAAAATTGGACTGCACAATGAGATATAGATCACACACAAAAAAAATGAAATTCATCAGTGTCCACCTGAGAATTTTTCAAGCTTCTTAATATCTTTTTCAATCACAATTATTATTATAAATATCCAGTGGCATCCAAGAAACAATTTGGGCAAATTATTCCCTGCAGGCATGATCTTTTTTAATCTGTAAATTTCTTCACAAGTTCCTTCCTCTAGGAAGTTCCTCTCAAGATACAATTTCCGTGACTCACTTTCTAATTATCTGGGCTTCTCCTTTATCCTTCAAGAATAAGCTTGAAAATAATTCTACATCCAAAATGTAATATTCTGAGCCCTGGAAATCAACATTTATGGATAAGACAGCAACGATGTTGGCCTGAACCAACTTAAACAGTGAAAATGTATGAAATGTACACTTCTCAAAGAGAAAACTTTACAGAAAGAAAAATGTAAATACTATATGATGCATTTAATTTTTATTCAATTTTCAAAAAGACAATGTTAATATGATATATATTTTCAAAGCAGAAATATGTTAATGTTTGTATTGATGAAGTCACTAATTTAAAAACGTGTTTGAATCTGCAGGTCAGAAGTGTGAAGAAACACCACACAGCTCCTCTCCACACCTTGAGAAAGTATTGCACACTGTCAGTCATGTGTGTTCATCAAGACCTGGGAACAAATGGCACAGTCAGGACTTGTCATAGCACTATGCTGTAGTTAACCTAGTAACAGAATAAATTCAAAGTGCTTACCTTGGGCCAACTCAGAGCCAGAAGTTCAAAATGACATCTGTTTCCCATTATAAGTGACAAAACTGCGATAAAATATATTCCTTTTAGTAATGTTCACTAGTCCAAAAGGTGCATTACCATGACAGAATATCAGTTTATATATGGACAAGTGTATTCATAAAACAATCCAGTATAAAAACACAGACCCATGATTAAAGGATGCTCCAGCTACTGTCCAGAATCAGTTTCTCTACTCTAAATAAAGAGCAACATATACAGAACAGTGGCCTCTGATAGCTTAAAAGTACATTCTTTTTTTTTTTTTTTTTTTTTTTTTTTTTTTTGGCATGGAAAGAGCAGGGACTTGTATGAGTAGCACAATCAAAACAAAGTGAACACATGAACCTAACAAAGCATAAAAATAAATAAGAAAATAATTAAAATGTCACTCAGGCAGTTGCTCTGGTGTTTTAAAGTCTGCTTGATTTTAGTCTTAGCTGTAAGCTTTGTTCACTGCAAAGACTATTTTGCAGTAATTCATGCCTTTGTAATACTGAATCTCCTACATTAATTTAAAATTATGCTATAAATTTCCCAGGGAATTTTCTTCCTGAATACAGAAATACAGTTCACATTCTTAAAATAAAGCCTTTTCCAATTTGGTCCTTTTAGACAAATACATTTTAATAAATAAATACAAATACTTATAGGTAACCTCTTCCATGCAGACATATTCTTGTCTCCCATTTACTAGTTTGAAAACAGTTAATTTTTGTACTATGAGAATCAGTGGTTCATTAAGCTGAGTTCTCTTGAGAAACAGTGTCTACAGAATGTGTGTGTGTGTGTGTGTGTGTGTGTGTATCATATCAACTGACAGTCCAAAATCAAAGCATGATCCAACAAGGTCCAGACCCACAAAAGATGAAGGTGTAGCTCTGGCGGGCAGCCTGGACCTCAGGAGAGCCTGTGGTGTAGACAAAGTCCAAAGGCAAGGAGCCAAAGAACTCCGTGTTGCTCTGAGAGGCTGATCCTCTTGTTCAAAGCCGTGGGTATAAATTAGTCCCTCTGACACTTAGGTGGGCCTGAGCAAGCAGTTCCTTAAAGTTTGGAAATTAATGCTCTGAGCTTCAAATAATGGACACAAATGAGTCGTACCCTGTTAGAACCAAGCCATCACCACCACACAGACCTCCCTGGCCTCGCTAAATTATCAGTCATCTATCCCTAGAGGACAGTGGGCTGGAGTCGGGAGTTCGAGTTCATGGTTATTTGCTTTGTTTTCTTAAGAAGGGACAAACAGCTGAAACTAATAAAGGGGGGTTCTAAGCACAGCAGCAGGGGACTCAGAGGAGCTAGATGTGGTGGAGACTGCACAGAAGCCAGTGTCAGGACACTCAAACCTAACCTGCTCTGCTGGGAACATGTTGTCACTTTGGCATCTCCTTGCTCCTCCCAGAGTCTCTGATTTTCCTCACTAAGGGTGACTTCATGGTAGCGTGAAAAGCTACAGGATAAGAACAACCTCTTCATTAATTAAATTTTAATATTTTTTTTCTAAAAGACATGATTGAAATGATACAGAAAGAGTCATTTCATCCACCTTTGGCTCCCATTACTGATATTCTATTTTTGTTAACTATAACATTAAGTACCATTCTGAAGATCTGTGTATTTTTAATTTCAACAAAAATTCCTTATCCTAGTATCATGTATATCCCAGAAATGTAAAATTTATATGCCATCTATAACCTATATCAAGTACTAAGCTCAGCCCTTGCTATCTAGTGACAGCTAATAAATTCTCTGATAGGAAGAACCCGGACTTGGAAAGGGTTTGTATAGATCAGCTAGAATTTCTGGAAATTGGCTTAATTCACGAGACTGAAGAGGTGCAGAGATGGGAAGCACTGACCTGTGCTCATGATTCACGGAGATCAAAGCTGAGCCTTTTGGCCTTCATTTTGCTTGATTCTGTCATGGAGACTGGTGACCTGAATGCTCAGAGAAGATGAGCCCTTAGTGACATGGTATAGCAAGGAAAGCTTGAATTTTAGCTTCATGCAAAGTAGATTGTAGATCAGAACTTTACATCTAACCATCCACCTCACCTTGCTGTGCCTCTTTTTCCATACCTGTCAAAGTGGAGGTAATATCTGTAGTATTGACTCAGCGTGCTCAGGATTCCCGATGACACAGGCTGGCATCCTGCACCACATTACTGTGTTCTCTTAATGTAGCAGTTTCCGAGGAAAGAAGTTAGAGATTCAGGGTGCCTTAGGGTCATATTTTAATGAAGATTCTTCCTGGATTTTGGGTGACTACTTTTTTATTTTTATTATCATTAACATATAATAACAACATATTAATACAGCATGTCTTTTTATTTTAAAGAGAGGAAATTTAAGAAATAAAAACAGTGATACAGAGATTCAAAACAGGATACTAAGAAATTAAGAATGATAAAGAACTTCAAAAGAAAATAGTAGCAGATTAACAATGGTTAATATATTGGGTATGCTATCTTAGTATAGTATTTCAATGCATGCAAGAATTATATCTTTTAAAAAATCTGAAAGGGATTGGGGCCCACTAAAGTCATTTATCTAGTATGGCATAAAAAACTTAAGAGAAAAAAGATTAAATGGAGAAAAACCCCACATATTAATATAGTATTTTCAATACATGCATATAGTATGACTGATCAAATCAATATAATTAACATTTCTTCACTTTATCATTTATTCCTGATGGAAATTTTGAATTGCTTTTCTTCTAGAGATGTAAAAAAGAATAAAATGTGTCTTTACTCTGACACAAGAAAAATGAAGTTCTGTCATTTTTAGCAAAAGGGATGAAACTAGTGGATGATTGGTTATGCAAACCAGATGTATAAGGGAAATACCTTATGTGCTTTCTCATAGGTGGAAAGTACACAAGCCCAGTGTGATGGAATATATTAATTTCTAGAGCCTGGAAAGGTAGGACAGAGGGAGGTTGGTATAAATTGAAAATTGGGCATCAAAATGCAGCTAGAACAATTGCTAGGGGTCTGCAGAACAGGGTGACTCTCGTGTAGATGGTAGATGCCCATTTTCTTATTGCATTCACTTTAAAATTAATTATCTCTTTTAATATAATCTCATTGTTATGGCAAAAGTGACTCCATTCTCGCTTTAGGACTCCATTTTAGTTGAAGCTAATGTTTGTATGAACTCATTCCTTAAGACCTTGTCTCAGTTAACCCTAAAGCCACAAGGCAGGAACAAACAGTTACTACAAAAAGCAGATATGCTGACCATTGCCCACGCCATGTTCAACTAATAACCCAGATGTGCAGGAAGACCTTTTAACATTCTTGGAAAATTCCAAGTGAAGTAATATTATTGCTATAGTTACTAAGGAACCTGATAAATGTATAAAAATACCTAAGCATAAAGCCTCAGGTACAATGCTTTAGCTGATGGCTGATCAGCATCTAACAGCTAATAGTTTCCTTGTATCCATTCTCAGCCTCTGTGTCTCTCACGTTTCTCCCATAATATCGGCAGGGGTAAAACCCCCACAAATTAACAGACTGGATTCAGTCTCTCATCTGCAGTGCAAGGAGCTCACGCAATGCACCACTAACCAAATGCTACTTTCCAGAGCCTGCAGGTCCCACTACATGAAATCCTGGATTCTGTTGCCCCTTTTTGACTATCTATAAATAGTAAACACAGTTCATATAACTTTTGGGACACACGTGTGTGTGTGTGTGTGTGTGTGTGTGTGTGTGTGTGTGCACTTTAGCTCACTGAAGCCAGGAGAGCTCTAATAAACTTGTTTCAAAAAAGTGATTCTAGACAGAAGGGTCTTTTTTCTTTTCTGGTTCTTATTTCTATTTT